GATGGTGCATCAAAAATCAAATGGTCCGACCCTAACTTGACCCGCTTGATAGCGTAACCCTAGCGCGGGTAAACGCTTCCTATAAAACATATTGAATTAGGATAACCCGCTTACTGCTCGTGTTAAATTGCCATGGCCAATCTATGCTCGGAGTTTATAACTGAGAAGTGAAAAAGTCAACAATAATTCAAAATAGTATTGTATACTGATATTTGAGAGTCATCTGTAGTGCATATGTTGTGGTTAATGCTACACAGTTCATATTACAACATTATTGTATATACATATAAGGCCATCTATACCATATATAGTAGGGGCACTCTTGTGCATTTGGGTCTTCTCCTGAGGGTCCGTCTCAGGTACCGGTAGTGTATCTCAGGTATCGCTATGCAAATGATGTTTTTATGAAATTTATTGGCTCGCCAACGACTTGCCCTGGCCCGTGCGACATCGTATAAATCTTTGTAATTTATGGCAAGTATCGCCTTCGTATAAACAGGTCGTAATATCGAGTAAATATCGAACTGTGCATGTGGCCTATGCATAACAGCTTGTGCACCTCATCTGGCCATGCCAAGAATTTGCTCAAACTATAGTCTAGAAGATAACAAACATATTCATATAGTGATCAGGTATGAGGTACTTAATACATTTTGTTGTTAGACTGCAAGGACCGGAACCTCTTCTCGGTTGAAACGCTGCGCTTGTAGAATTTAAATGGGATTCAGTCTCATAAATTTGCCCAGGCCAAGCCGTCGGGAAATTGTGGAAAAGCTATCGATATAAGAAATGTAATTGCTACTGACAGATACTCGTATTGTTTTGACTATAAACTATAGCTATATATAGCTACAGTATACCTGATACGATTAACACAGATTCCATATATCTTATATAAAATAACTTCGTCTTGGACTTTGTGATTCGTATTTTTGACAGTTTTGCGACATAATCTGTGTATAAAACGTGTTGATATAGATAGACTATCTAGTGTATTGCTACCGATCAGGCATTCATGGATATTAATTTTGTTTTCCTCCTACAGTAACATAAATAAATTTGTAGATTGTATAGGGTGTTCCCAAAAAAACGCAAAACCATTGAAATACGGTATTGTTAAAATTTGAATGCCCTATCACTAAGCTGAATCAATGCAAAGATGCGTAAAATAATGACAAGGGTGTATATAGCCCGCGTGCAGGCCCAAGGGAGCAGGCTCAAGGGAACTTGATAGTGGGCCTGCAAGCAAGGGCCGGTATTTTGTAAAACGCCCCTTTTCATAACACGCCCCATCCGCGCGTCAATTGTCAAAAAAGAACCAATGACAGCACCCAAATATTAACAAACAAACTCGCATTAAAATGTTGCGGGGTTTTCTCTGCATATTCAGAACATAAACAATGTGTAAATGGCTGCGTTTTAACTCCAAAAAAGCAAGCAACGCAGTCAGTGATTGCCAAATTTACAAGTGCTCATTTTCAACTAAAATCGGAACAGGCAAATTAGGACGAATTTCAACAGAAAACCAGTCTCAAACTTCAAATCGTGAGGGAAGTCGTGCAACCACATTAGCATTTATAATGTTGTTTCGCTGTCGCCGTTGGCATTGTTATCTTACAGTCCTTACATGCAACTGCATCTCAACATCAACCAAAAGATAATTTTCTTGAGGAACATATAATTAACGTATCAAGTCTGTTTGAAATTAATGAAACTCAAGTAAAGGTTACTATAGTTTACCCCAGTCGTAATGTTGCTATTCCGAAATTGCTAGTAAATTATTTGTCGTGACGTACAACAAAAGCCTGTTTTATGCGTCGAATTTCGGTCGCGTCGAATGCAATTCAAAGAATAGATATGAAGCTTAATGAGGTTTATCATCTCATTATCTAATAAAATAAAAAGTATTGTCTTAATTCATAGTCACTCGAGGGATGGTCTGGAGACTTCCTAAACTTCAAAAGATGCCGCGCAATATGTTGCGCCAAGCAAATTTAGGGTGTCACGTGGTACTACACCGTGCACAAAAATAAAGATGGCGGAATGTAAAGAGCCATGCGAGAATGAGATCGACGCGGTTTTAGAGCCGTTGCACTCTGATGCTTTAGACAGGGAGGAAGAACTACAACACGCTTTCGAAGAAGCGATCGAAGAAGTAAGTTGACATCGTCTTGACTGAAATGTCGAACATACTTAGTCAGTATTTTGTGCAACATATTTCTGCACTCTTGCGGCCTTGCCAGGTCCAAATGGGATATATTTATATTTTGATGCTTTTTCTATGTATTTTCAGATGACGGATGGCGAATTTTGTTGCAATTTTTGTGGGAAAAAGTGCAGAAGTAATGCTGGTTTGACGAGGCATAAAAATGCAAAGCATGAAAGACAAAGGAAATACTGAGTTCTGACAGTATTATTAACGCCGACAACAATGACAATATATTCAGCATTGATGATTATTTTAACCTGGTAAATCAAAGTTGCAAGAGTTTAGACGGAAAAATATTTGCTATGCAGAAAGTGTTAGGGAAAGTTTCAAGGTTTATGTTTTTAATATTATCAGAACATAAATCTACTGTAAATACGTTGAATGAGAAGGAAAAAGCAGCATTGCAATACCTCGGTGGATATGTTCTATGTACAGTACTCTACTACTCTACACTAACATATTTGAAAGTCTAAAGATTGGATGACAAATTCCAAGCAGCAAGTATTGGCTGTACTCCAAGCCGGAAAACAAAGCAACGGTTGTGAAACAGCACAGAGAGGGGGGCTCCTGGCTCTGGAAAATAAACCGAACTGACAACTGTATAACAAATTTTTGCTATAGCAGGAATTAACTTTAAAATTGTCATAACTGAGTCTGAGGAACCCATCACAAAGATATCAAAAACAGACATTGTTGATAATCTGGAAAAAGGTCCTAAGGTAGACAGTCTTTTCCAGGAGTGGGTAAGGACTGCTGATTTTAGAAGTATCTAAAGATGTATCCAAAGACATTTTACACTAAGTCTTATTACTCTATATCAAAGTGAGATCATACAGTTTTGCAAAGGATGTGATAAATAAGTGTAAAGCCAAACAGAAGAGTTCAAAGGCATTAAGAAAAGAAATAAAAAATATTTCAGATGAACCTTCAATTAATGAATGAAAACATGTAATGCACTTGTCAATTGTAACCCCCCAAACCTCGGGAAATGGTGGGGGTATATATTTTAATATATCCATACTTAACTGTTGCCTGATCCCCTGAGGCAGGCTGACCTGACTAATCTTGTCAAGTCGGAAGTCCCTCAGCCCACAAGGGCAAGATTTTAAAAAAAAATAAAAAATTTTATTGAACAAAGAACATTTTTGTAGTAAACTATTTTGTCACCATAGAAAAACAATAGCACTAATCTGGCTTCTAATATTTAGGTCCCAGGCAGACTCAACAAGACAATCCTAGCCTGCGAGCAGGCTGTATACGATGGCCCCACATACCAGGGTCGGGGATTCATAACAGGAAAATCCCCCATTGTGTCAGGCATAACTAAGTTTTAAAAGAGGAAAAACACCCCACATGTCCCCACCTTTCCTCTTCGGTCAGGATTATAATTGAAAAGTGCATAAGATTGACAAATTAAACATACCGGTACATGTAATTATGAACTGTACTGTTCTGTATTTAAATTTGACAACAACAACAACAACAACAACAACCAGTAATATATGTTACAAAAGTCAAGTTGAGAATATTGTAAAACATAACTATGAAACAGAACTGTAGAAGTATTATAGATAACTTTTTTTAGTAAAAGCAGTTATACTATACCCCAGAAGACAAATACTACAGTAAAATCCTGCACATATGAACGGAGCAGATTAAAGAATTTGCAGCCTGAAATTTGTATTTTGCTCTTAGAAACCCATTTTTATCAGGAAAATTGAAATTTGGAAAAAATTGTAATAATAGTTATGTAAGTGTACTTGCACCTGATTTTTACATGCAGGATTTTACTGCCCTGGGCCTAATTGGTAAACTTTTTCGTTTATGCCTGGGTAGTGGTTCATATGAATGTCATAAGTTGGAATGATATATGGGACATCTACTTTCCATATTCGAACAACATACAGGTTACTCCAGTCCAGGTTACTCCAGTAATTTAATGCAATTTTTTACCCGCAAGTTCCTCAATATTATTATAACAAGTTGTTGTGGAAGCTGATAATCTGTCCTGTACAAGACATACAATGGATCGATGCTTTTGTTCCTTTCTTTCTGGCTTCGTAATAAAGGAGTCGGATGACTTGGTTGGTAATTTTAGGTAGGCAATGCTCCATGGGCAAGCTGCTTCTTGGTCAGCTTTGGGCCATGATCTGAAAAATATGAAATGTTACAATAAAAAATAAATTTCTCTTCAAAATGTGTTACTGTTTGTTTACAGATCCACAGATCTATTGCACATCGACAGATCTACAAATTAAAGCTCACGAAGTCACGATCAGAGAAATAGCATTACCTGTAAACACCGACAAGCTTTATATATTGCATGAGATGCTTAAATGGGAATACGATACCACAAAATATATACGCCACAGGTTTCAACACAATTGCTCCTATAATGTATCATATTTATACTTCTAATTGACTTACAAGTAATGATCTCTTCAGGAAGAAAGTCTTCTGCAAACATGTGTGAATCAACAGCCAACTGCCTTTTAAAATCTTTGTCTTCAAACTCGATATTTGGTAACGATGTTCAGAAAATCCATAGTGAAAATCATGCCGCCATTTCTTGCTCAAATCGTCTTTCGCCGTTGGAAGCTTGAATAGCTCGATTTCTTTTGTTCGTCGGTTTGTCCCGCATTGATTTAATGCACAATTGCCACCCGGCATCAATAATAATTAAAATCAATCTTTCCTCACTTTAATTGCAAATTTGTGTATAGTTTGTATCAGGTCTCAGTTTGTATATTGAAATATGCTATTAAAATGCTTGAAAACGCATCCGCATGTGCACGGTGATGATGACGTCACGGCACAAATTCTCGTCAAAAGGATATGCCGACAGATTCCGAAGTCTCCAGACCATCCCCTCGAGTGACTATGCTTAATTGCATTCGACGCGACCAAAATTTGACGTGTAAAACAGGCCTAACATGTATCCAGTTAAGTGCTATCTCTAAAAAAAGAAATATATTTATCCGCCATGTTTTATATGTCAAATTTTGGTCATGTCAAAAATTACAGCTTAAAAAGATATTGTAATTAAAAATAAATGTTTTCCCATTTAAAAAAGGTTTAACTGAAGCAGTGAAAACAAGTCACAAATATATTCTCTACCCACATTTGTGTCATGCATTTTTCACTGATATAAATAATTGTGAAATAAAGAATTGGAGGTAATTGTGATATAAATAATTGTAAACTGTGCCTTTGGTCTTGAAAAGTGACTCGCCCTTCGGGCTCGGGTCGTTTTCAAGACCTCGGGCACAGTTTTTCTCATCCGGACCTCGCAGCCGGTAAATAACATATATCACAGTTAATAGACTAGGTCTATTAACTGTGCATATATATAGCGCTCAAACTAAATGTGATTAGCTCAAGTTTGGTCACGTGGATTTAGATAAATGCAATATATCCTGGCGGGTAACAAGTGAGAAATTGTTGCCCGCTCCGTCCAGCTACGTGCAGTGACCGCATTAGGGAGTTTGGCAAATACAACGTACGGCAACGGCAACGTAGACAAAAGCGAATGTAAATTACATGGTTTTAAGCGTTGTGCAATGCCGTAGTTGTTGAAACCTGTACTTGATTTGTATCATTTTTACGGTGCATGACTACGGTAACATTTAATTCGTTCGATGTTGTTTGAGGTGTTTTAGTATTTGAATTCGCAGACTATTTTTACTTAAAGGGATATGGCAACATAAATTAAGTTGGTCTTATTTGAAAGAACATTTAAAATGATATATAAAGTACCTGTACAATTATTCCGTATGCAACCTCGTTCCTAGGGTCTCTCCTTTTGTCCTTTGGGAGAGACCCTGGCTGCGCGGCTGGTCACGCGCCTCCCAGATTCTGGGAGGTGAATTAAAATTATACTATGGGTAGGGTGGGAGAGGAGCGTGCTTATTGCGTTTTAAAATTGCAACTTTTGGTGATGAAATTTACTGTAAATTTGCAACAAGAAATCGTGAAGAGAACTCTTAAGGTGGTCTTCCACCAAAATTTTCCAATATTCGTTATTTTTTAGAAAAACGTAAAAATGTAGTCGTAAAAATGTAGTCGTTCTTTATAAAATCCGTGTAATTTTAAGAACGAAAATGTACCGTAAACCAGAGAAATCCAGCAAATTCTACACCTTCGTAGGGTAAAACCACGATTTTACCCGGAGCGATAAAGACATACGATTGGTTTAGTCTATTGTTCCATTTTCAATTATATTGTTCTATCTAAGTTATTCTAATATATGCAAAAACTTTAAAATCGCTTTTCTCACATGAGCATTTTGCGAAATACTAAAAACTCTCCTAGTGTTCATACTGAATCAATTCGTTCGAAATTTTCAGAGTTTATTTGCTTGTTACATAGCCATGTCATGGACCTAAGAAACTTCATATATCAGCAATATACATTGCAAGAGTAGCCTTATAAGAACTCCTTTCTTCATAGAATTTAAAAAAAGTAAAATATGAAGGCCTTATTATATTACTTGTATATTTTGTCAGGTTCATGACATAGATCGATGTATTAAGTGTCCATTAAAGCTGTTTCTAAAATCCTCGGTAAATTAGTTTGGCTCACATCATTTTTGGAGCAAACCCTATATTTTACCCTATAGCGAAGCCTATCTTAGTTACTATGGCAACGACGAATGTAAAAGTTACTGATCCTGCGTCAGCTGAGGATATTCCATCATATTTGACTCAAATATGATGATAAAATCTTTAATTTGAAAAAAATGTTTTTAGCGTGGAAGACCCCCTTAAATTAATATTTATATCGTGACTTTCTACTCTATAATCTGGTGTCGATTTACAATTCAAGGAAGTTGGATCTTCGGAAAAAGTTAAATTTCGTCAATATTTTGTCGTAGAATTTGCCCGATTTCAGTTTAAAGTCTCTTATCCAGGACATTTTTCAATAACCTTGGAATAAACGAACTTAAGTGGCAGTCCCGCTAAGAGCGGTCCGATGACTTTGACTTCGGAAAATAGATTTCCTTTATTTTTTGTGTGTTGAAAGGCATTGGTATACAAGTGTCCAAAATAAATTTATTTTTTGAAAATTCTTTTTTATGGCTTTGCTAGACGCCGAAACTCATTTCACCCGTGCAGAGCTAATTTCAAGCAAAATCGAAGGTTGAATTTCGGTAAATTGTAGAGCCGCGCTGTGTCAAAACGCCTGACTATTTCCAAATTTCAACTAGATCAACAAGTTAAGATACAATTCAGGTTCTCTGTTCCAAAAAATAAGAGCATTTGAATAAATTGTGAATAAATGACAGCGACTTGACAGCACACCGGTTTTTGCTTCTTGTTCGGTCTAGAAAATTACACTAAAATCGAAGCCTGAGATCTCCAAATGGGGACCTAAAATTACGCTGAAATGTGCTTGGCTGTAATGATTTATACTTATTTTCAGAAGATCTGAAGAAAAACCTGCGAGTATCAATCTGTATTTGGCGCGAGTTAAGATTTTCTGGAGCCCATAATCAATGATTTTTGCATAATTTATAGCTAATTAACATATTTCTTGAGAGGCGCTAAAAGTACACAATTTCTTTCTGACTAACATATCTCAGATGAAAGAGACTACCACAGCTAGTAAAACCCTCTTTGTAAATATAGTCGTAATGTTCTTTTCCTGACACGCTGAGAGAGCTTTGATTTTGAATGTTATGTCACATTTATTCAGTCTGACCAGATTCATAAATGTCACGAACTTGTATATTTCAACAATATCAGCACCACAAATCAGAATTCAGAAAGACCGATTATTCTTTCCTTGATTTAGTTGATGGATTTAGTTGATTGATTTAAAAAACTATAAGTATAATAGAACATTCCATGAGTTTCCATTGCCCCTGTATAGGGCTAGAATTTTTATCAATATGTTCTATTTTTCTGTGGCGACGGCATATTAACAAAATACGACACAAAAATGTACATTCGAATTTATGACCGACATATCAGAATGTTATTTATGAAGTTTGAATTGAATTTACTTAACGCGAAATAAATACTAAAATAGGAATTTTCTATGCTGGGTTAGTAAAAGAAAAAGCATAATTTTAATTGTATGTAATTTCGATGAATACTATTAAAAAAATTATACGCATTGTTTATATAAATTAGCTAACATTTACACATTTATTACGATAGTAGCGACGTTTGTTTTAGCCATGTAACAAAATAAACTATAAGCATTCTGATCAGTTATTTAACAAAAATGTCAAACTTATGTCTTGTGAATTTTAATTCACAAACTTTTGAAATTTATTCTCAGCTATGGAGCTCACGAATATATTTTTTTTTCAAAGAAAAATATTGAAATTCGATTATTTATAAAATTGATATTTTTGTTAAAAATGTTAGCTAATTTATACAAACAATGCGTATAATTTTTTTTATATATAGTATTCATCGAAATTACATACAATTAAAATTATGCTTTTTCTTTTACTAACCCGGCATAGAAAATTCCTATTTTAGTATTTATTTCGCGTTAAGTAAATTCAATTCAAACTTCATAAATAACATTCTGATATGTCGGTCATAAATTCGAATGTACATTTTTGTGTCGTATTTTGTTAATATGCCGTCACCACAGAAAAATAGAACATATTGATAAAAAATTCTAGGCCTATATAGGGGCAATGGAAACACGTGGAATGTTCCATTATACTTATAGTTTTTTAAATCAATCAACTAAATCAATCA